TATCCCGGTGCAGTCCTGTTCCCTCCCACTTCTCACTTTCAGTGGCATTAACTTGGGGAGAAGCCAAGTAGCTCAGGACAAATTGTCATAGGCAATCCTGGGGATGGCTCCTGCTCGACCCCACACTAATTATGGGTTAAAAAAGGTGAGGGGCCAGAAGAGACCATCCAGCCCAAACCCCTTATTTTGCTGAGGGAGGAAGAGAGGGAACACATTTATGAGCCGCCTCTGAGCCCTGGGCGCACTGAGCTCTACAAACATCCTCCCCTCAGATCCTCACAACAGTCTAGGAGGCAGGGAAAGAGGAAGGAGGAAGGGAGGAAGGGAGGGAGCAGGGAGGGGCTGTTGTGATCTCCATTTTACAGTGGGCATAACTGAGGCAGACAGAGGTCACTTGCTCAAGGTCACTCAGCTATCACATATCAGGCAGGATTTGAACCCATGAATTAAGGGGGAGCAGAACAAAGCCACCCACAGATCTGGAGCCTCAGGAAAGCTGCCAGATATTCTGTTGGGCTTAATTATTAATTATTTACTTAATTACTAATTACTTAGCCCAGTGTCTGGTACTTAACAGGTAACTGATAAATGTTTATCTATTGACTTTAAGAGTGTTCATCTACATATACAAGTTTGTGGAATTTCAGGAGGAGAAAGGGTCTCCAATTTCTTCCTGAGGCCTCCCCTTTGCAGCATTCTCATACCCTCCCCCACCTCAGCCTCACAAATGATCCATTTGTCTCTACTGGAAGGACTCCAGTAATGGAGAACCCTTCCACCACCCCACCTCCCACAAGCCAACCTGTCCAGCCTTGGGACGGCTCTAATTGCTAAGATTTTTTCCCTCATTTCCAATTGAAAACTGGCCTCTCCTCAGCATCTACCAGTTGCTCCTGAATCTGGCCTCTGGGCCCAGGCAGAAAACCTCCAACCAGTTTTTGAAATGGCAGGCTTTCAAGTCCTCAAAGGCAACTCTCATGCCCCACCCCAAGAGGGGTCCAAGGGCCAGCTAAGGCCCAAGGGCTGGATGCCTGGAAAAAAGCCAGTATCCAGGAAGGCCAGAAAGACCAGAGATCCCCAGGCCCACCCACCTGCTGCACAGCTCCAATATCATAGACAGCTGGTCCTCAACCTAGCCTGTACTAGACCTCTGAGGCTTGGGGGCAAAAACCAGTCTCAACAGGGGCAGGTTTGGGCCTGGAGAGGGATCCTGCCCTGGTGGCGGGTTCAGAGGTACAGGACAGTGGTCTCCTGCTGGCAGACCCTCACACCCAGCCTCCCTGAGGCTGGAAAGAAGGAGAAAGAAGCCTGAGGCTTTGACACCAACAAGCCCCTCTCCCATTTCTTGTCTTATTCTGCTTTTGGAAGGAAGTGCTTCTGGCCTCTTCCCTCCTGGCAGCATTTAAGCTGGGGGCTCCTTGGAACTGTTTTCTGTATGAATCCTGGGATCTGGTTGTTACCATAATATCCTAGAAACCTCCTTACAATGGTCTCAGTTCAGTAACTGCCTCCTTTTTCAGAAAGCATGCTGAGAAAGTGAGTGACCCATATGTAGAAGTAATAATAAGAATATTAATAATAATGATCACTAATATTTATGGAGGGCTTTAAGGTTTTAAATTTTATCTCATTATTTTCCTCACAACAACCCTGGGAGCTCGGTGCTATTATTATCCCCATCTTGCAGCTGAGGAAACTGAGGCAGGCAGAAGGCTGAGTGACTTGCCCAGGTCATATGGACAGTGACTAACTGAGGCTGGTCTTGAATTCAGGTCTTCCTGATTCCAGGTCCTGAGCTCTATCCAAAGCTCCAACTGGACCCTGTCACCCCCTAGCCAGTAAATTCTGATGGCTCCCTATTACCCTCAGAATCCAACCCAAAATCCCATTTGGGCTTTAAAGCTCATCACAGCCCAGCCCCACTTCCCTTTCCAGGCTTCCCCCACCTTGCTGCCCTCCCCCTCCTCTGTGATCCCCTGACTGTGGCCTCCTAGCTCCTCCCCCCATGAGACCCTCCCTCACCCAACCCTGAGGATTTTGCAATGGATTTTCCTCTCTGCCCCTTGGCTTTCTTCAAGCTCCAGCTTGTGGGACCTTGGGGGTTATCTCTGATTCATCTTCTCTATATCTTGTTCCATGTAGACTTTGCCCTCCCCCATGACAGGGCAGGGACTCTATCCCAATGACTAGAACACAGAAGGCACTTAATAAATGCATTCAGACTTGACTGGTCAGAAAAGAACATATAGGACAAACTTTAGGATGGTTTTAGACCCAAGCTGAGAATCAGAGGTACCTCAGAAGCCAACCAGCCCAACGCTGTCTCTTTACAAATGTGGAAACAGAGACCCAAGGTCATACAGGCAATGGAACAGATCCCGGTCCTCTTGACTTGAGCTGGTGCCTTCTGCTGGTCCACTCTGGCCCCCTGAACTAGCTTGACTGGAGATGGTCAGTCATGGGCACTGTCCCACCCGAGCGCCATCTGGATTCTCAACAGAAGCCTGGAAGATGGCTACACGGTCTGTAACTGCCACCTCCGTGCCTCACCACAGTCTGGATACTCTGTAAATGGAGCTCTGAGAAGGGCTTCTTTCCTTCTGGGGACACAGTCATTCTCCAGGAAATTGGGCTTATGGGTTTTCCTCTGAGTATTGGCTCACTTTTTTCTTAAGGGAAGAGGAAAGGTGGCCTGGTCAGGGAAGTTGGAAAAAAAGCTCTGTGGGTACTTTTCCCCTAAATATTACAGTTAGGCTCCCTAAATGTAGGTCCATCTAGTAAGTATTGTAGGGGTGCCAATTTGCTTTGAATGATCCCGAGGTAGCCTGCATGGCGGTGAGAATTGCCACTCCCAAAGTTACCCTATTGGGTGCTGCCACTTTCTCCAAGAAACTCCCATTAAAATGGCCCATTTTAGGCTAGAAGGCAGAAGCCCCGGGGAAACTGCTGGACAAAGGCCCCAGAACTGGCTGCTCTTCACCGTTCTGCCCCAGGACAGCTCTCTGATGACATCTGGCTACTATAAGACCCAAGCTGTTTATCTCCATTTTTAAGAAACAGCCATTTCTAGTAATGCAATCTTCTAGTTACATCACTGTGTTTTCTACAGCAAGTCTGTCATGTCAAAAATCACACTGGAAGTGGTTAGTCAACTCTCAGCCATCCCCATGGGAACATCCATGGGAATCTTGAGAGGGCTTTCTCCTGTCTTGCAGCCTGCTTCGAGGCTACCTCTACCAGCATTTAGGGAAAACAGTCTATTACATGTTAATCACGCCCTTACTCTGTGCCAGGCATAGGCAACAGCCTTCCCCACCAAAAGGATAAATTCTTTCAGGACAATCACCTCTCCATTGTGACCGTGGTTCCCTCAGTGGGCCTAATCACCCTACTGTGATCACACAGAATCAAAGAATTACAGAATGGAAGTGATCTCAGACATCATCTAGTTCAACCATTACCCAATCAGGAATCTCTTCCCCAGGGCTGGTCCTAGTAGCAGCCCATTTCTCTCAGGACTGCTTTAATTCACTGTTACGAATCAGGGTTCTTTTCTAACAGTGAAAAAGAATCTACCTTCCTGTAAAGCACTTACACAAATGTAAGTTATGAGTTAACACAGAGCCATCACTGGTTCTAATTGCACCCTCCCAAGTAGACAATATTTGAAGACAACAAGCACGTTCTTAGCACTAAGCCTTTTCTTCTCCTGTTTAAAACTCTCTGTTCCTCCATTTCACCCTTTATGCTCAGGTTTTGAGACCCACCAGCACCCTGGCTCACCTCCTCTGGACCACCTCCACCTCGCCAATATCCCTTCTGAACTATGGCCCCAGAACTCGGCACAGCAACCCCCATGTGGTCCAGCCAGAGCAGCGTGCGCAAGGAGGACCCTCAGCTCCCTTGTTCTAGGAACGTACCCTGTGATGAATTAGCTTTGGGGCTGCCAGATCAGGATGACTCAGGTTACACTTCATGTCCGCCCAGCCCTCTTGGCCATCTTTAAATAAACTGGTTAAGAAACAGGACTTGGATACGAAGCTTACATCACTGTGCTTCTCAGAAAACAAGCATCACCAGGCGTCTCCAATCTTGTCTTTGTCGGCCAGACTTTATCTCATTCCTCCATGACAAAATCCACTGCTGAGCATTAGTCTGCTGGTACAGGCTCTCCAGAGCTTTGGGGATCTTGAATCTGCCATCCCCCCTACTTTCTGTCTAGAGGGGGCTCTGAGAAGCTGCCTGTACATCACTGCCACTTAATGCTTTATTAGTCAACTTGAATGAAGGCCGAGATAAAACCTTCTCCAAAATGGTGGTGAGACAGAGGTAGATGGTGTAGTTAATAGCTACCTCGAATGTACTCCACTGAATAGAATTTAGCAAGCATTTATGGAGCACCTACAGTGTGCCAGACATTGTGCCAAGTATTGGGATGCAGAAACAAAACCAAACAGCCCCTGCCCTTGTGGAGCTTACATTCAATCAGAGGGAGTGGCAGGTATACATAGAAGTAAATACAACCTAACACAAAGCACGAGGCAAAGTTACTGTGTTGAGAGAGGAGGAGACGGTAGCAGGGGGAGGGACCGGGGAAGGCTTCATGGCAGAGGGGACACCTGAGCTTAGCTCTAAATGGAGTGAGGGAGTCTATGAGGCAGAATAAGGATGGAGGGCATCCCAGGCTTGGGGAAATAACCCGTGTGCAAAGGCATGGAAGGTAGGCCTAGGCCAGGGCTGGAATGAGGAACATGATGATGGCGGTGGGGGTGGTGGTGGTGGTGGAGGTGGGGGGTGGTGGAGGTGGAGGGGGGTGGGGGGTGGAGGTGGGGTGGTGGAGGTGGTGGTGGTGGTGGTGGTGGTGGTGGTGGTGGAGGTGGAGGTGGTGGGGGGGTGAAGGTGGTGGAGGTGGTGGTGGTGGTGGGGGTGGAGGTGGTGGAGGTGGGGGTGGTGGGGGTGGTGGGGTTGAGGTAAAGTGGATTCTCTCCTTGTTTTCTTACCAGCATCCTAGGTGGAAGGTGAAGGAACGCCATGTGCATTTGGCAAAGGGTCCAATCAGAGGGGAGAACAGACTGAGGAGAGGGGAGGCCCAGGCAGTCCGTTTTGCAGCATAATGGCATTTCCCATTGATGAATGTCCTGGGGAAGGAATCAGACTGCATTTCTGATGCATGACCCACATGCTCCAGCCAGATATGGAGGCTCCTGAGAAAGCTGATAAGAAGAAAATGGCCTCCCCTCCTGATAGAGAGGGGATACTGATACATACAATATGGGGTTTTGGGAATTCAGTTTGCTTAGCTAGGCATGTTTGTAGGTGGGGTTTTGCTTTTCCTGGCTTTCTTGATTGGTAAGTGGAAGGGAGAGAAGGTTTATCTGAAAATAAAGTAAAATTTAATGTTTTTGAAGAGAAGATATTGGCTTGGAGTCTTTCAGATCAAGTCAAAAGGCCTTTAAAAGGATGAGGGGGCCCCCACTGCCTGGTCTTCCCTCACAGGAAGTCACTGTGGACAGAAGCCATGACTCAGGGAGAACAGCAGGGTCTTTGGGTGATGAGCAGAGGAAGCTAAAATGTGTCCGAGACCCGGGTAGGGCTGGGAGAGGAAGTCAGAGCTGACCAGACTGACCAGAGATAGCTGGAGCCAACAAAGAGGAGCCCCCTCCAGGCACGTGTCCATCCATTACCCTTTGCAGTGGGTTACTGCAGTGGCTTCACTCAGGGCAATACAATTCATTCAGCGGATATTGATGAATAGCTGCTTAGGGCAGACTTGGAGGCCTGGGAAGGCCCTCCAGGGTGCCACCTAAGCCCCACAGAAGGAGGGAACCCCTCCCCACTAGCCCATTCTCCACAAGGAGTCATTCAGCCTGCAAGGGGGTGGAGCAGGGCTTCAGAGTTTGAGGCTGAGATCCCAGCCAGGCTACTACCTTCGCTGGCGTATCTGGGGGCCAGTTTCTGTCTGCTGCTGGGACCAGAAACTTGTGCTGGTTATGGGCATGAAGAAACAAGCCCATCCCTGGCCTGGCCCCGGCCCTAGAGTCTGAGGTGCCCACCCAGGTTTGGGTGACTCTCTCACTCCTCACGTTTCCTTCCAACCTAATGGTCTAGGAGGAGCCTGAGAATCACGGCAGCAGCCGGGCACAAGTCAGAGATGCATCGCTTCCAAACAGGCTTTACAGAATTAAAACCTGATCTTGACTGATGAAAGGTGACATGTTTTGAAAGAGCCCTCCCACTAAGAGTCCCCACATGGTCCCATTCTCATTCCTGGTGCACCAGTGGGGGCTGTCCCTGACCCTCCAATAATCCAAGGAGAGGGAGAGAAGAGAGGCCCAGGGGACAGGCTTCCCTACCTGATCTGGTCTGAGTCAGGATAAAGGTCTGGTTCAAGCCCAGCAATCCTGGAGGGAATAGAGGCCTCTGGGGCCCAGCTCAAGAAGACGCCCCTTGGGAGCAGTCCAGAGCAGCCAGTCTGGGACTGTTTGAGCCAGGGGAGTATCAGAGGGGCAGATTTTAGCTTCATAAAAGAACAGCTTGCCAGCAGTTGCCTCAAGGCAGCACAACACCCTTTCCCTTAGATGAGATGGGTGGCTGTGTTGCTGAGTAATCAGTGTGGTTTGATCTGGCCAGGTATGAGAGGCCTTGGCGTCAGAGGACATCCTACCTGGATGGCATCCTCTTTCATAGTTCTATTAGCTCAGGCGGGAGAAGACATTTCCAGGTCCATCACCCACTCTACTCATTCCTGTTACATACTGTGGCCCCCTTTCCCAACTAGCATACAGTTTCAGGATGGGCCTGAAGGGGAGAGGGGAGCTGGGCCACAAGAATGAGCCCAGGTGGAGCTGGGCCTCTAACACCATGACCAAGACTACCACCATGACCACGACTGCCACTATAGCCACCATGACTGCCACCATGGCCATCACTGCCACTATAGCCACTGCCACTGCCACCATGACCACCACCATGACCACCACTGCCACTATAGCCACTAACACTGCCACCATGACCACCACTGCCACTACAGCCACTAACACTGCCACCAGGGCCATCACTGCCACTACAGCCACTAACACTGCCACCATGGCCATCACTGCCACCATGACCACCACCATGACCACCACTGCCACTATAGCCACTAACACTGCCACCATGGCCATCACTGCCACCATGACCACCACCAGCAGCAGTAGCAGAAGCAGAACAGATTCCCACATCAACCCAAGGTCACTCAAAGCAAATGCCCTCTGGCACAGATGGCTCCTGCCAGGTCCCAGGCCGCCATCTTCTGTGCCAATGGGTGATGAGCCATGGAGTTCTTTGGGCTTCCTTTCCTTCCCCGCCTGCCCAAGGCAGATGCCTCCTTGACAGCAGATCAGACACTCCACAGAGAACAGAATTCTTGCTGCTAAAGCTTGTTGCATCCTTTGCCTTTTCATCCCCAGTGCCCAAAGTGACAGGTACTTCATGAGTACAAATAAGGACTTAATAGGCTAAGTACTTTACAGGTACTTAACAAAGGCTGGCTGATTGAATGACTGACTGTTAGACAATCCTTTGGACATCAAGAACTCAAGAAAGGCCCTTGACATATTAGGCAGCTGCCCTGTGGGGGGCTCTGGAGAGGACACATGCACAAAGAGTCAGCCAGGAATGGGTTGTGATCTGTGTCAGTGGAGGGAATGCCCTAATGGATGAGATCATGGAGCCAGGGGAGTATTTGAGAGGGTACTGGGAAAGAGGAATCTGCATGAAGGGAGGGGTCCCAAAGTGGATGACCTGGATGGTGAGAGATCACCTGAGAACTAATGAAGCTTCCAGAGAGAAGCTATCAAAATGGAGCAAGGCCAGGGGAGGGGGGATGGCTGTCTTCAAACAATCCATGGCTGTGTGGAAGAGAGATCAATGTGCCCAGTGCGTCTCCAGGGACTCCCCCCACTGGAACTGAGGGATACGTTACAGAGAAATGCATTTCAGGGAGTGAAAAGCGAGTACTTTGCTCCCCTCAGAGCAGGCAGAAAAAGTCGTGGACCACCTTGGGCAATGGGGAGTGCTCTGTTACTGTAGGATGCAAGCAGTCACTTGGGAACCACTGAGGAGCCTAGATCCAGAGCCAGAAGGGGCCTCAGAGGCCATCTACCCCAAAGCATCCATTTTACTGATGGGGCAACTGAAGCCAAGAGCGGGTCAGTGACTCGCCCAAGATCACCCGGGGAGCAGGTTCTTCCTCCGTCAGGGAAGTGGCTAGCCCAGGTAGCTTCTTCAGCACCTCCAACTCTCAGTTTACATAATATATTAATATTGTTGGAAGTGGGAGGATTTTGAGGAGAGCTGAGGACATCCTGATTTGTTGTTATAAACCACTGCTGGTGAATCTGTGAATGGTCCAGGAGGCATCCCTGTGATGCCCAGCTCAGCTCTGAGGATTGTGCCTCTGCTCTGATTCTTGGGTAAGACTTTGCCTGACCACAAGTCACTGGTGTAAAGTCCATGTCACTGCCTGAACACAGCTTGGAAATGGTTGTTTTCCAAAGGCTCGGTGCTAAACGCAAGTCTGCTTCACGGCGGTCAGCCGGATCTGACAAACATCCTCGAGGTTCCATTCACTGCCCATGCCAGCACCACCCCTCCCCCGCTCCATACCCCATACCTTCTCTGTGATATAGAAGTTGGAACTGTCTGCGTGCTGCAATGCAAAGGACTCGTGGTTGGCCAGTGTCCACCTTTGGAAGAGCACAGGGAGGGCATCAGTCAGTAAGCCCACAGGGTACCACAGGGTCGTGGGGATATTCTGGGGACGGGACCCTGACCAGGTCACTCTCGGTGACCCTGGCAGCTCTCCAGACTCTCAGTGGCAGACTGAGGGGTGTCTCCACACTGGGCGTTCCCTACTCCCCAGAATTTTAGATTTCCAGAGGTCCAGATTCTTTTCTTAAAAACGCCCTTGCCAGGCATCAATTGTAAGGCGATGTTTTTCAACAGACTATTAGACATGCCCAAGAAAAACAGGAAAACAAGAACAGGCCCAGTTCTGGCTGTTCTCAGCTGGGTATGGGGGCTTCAAGGGAAGACAAGAGACAAAGGCCAGAGCAGGCCCCAGCAGCCCTCACAATGCCCTGCTCTGGGACTATAAACAGCATCCCCAGGGAGGGAAGGGGACAAGTAATTATCTGCCCCCCAATGTATGGGCCAGGGTGTGATGCTGGGGTGCCAGGGTGCCACTTACCCATCACAAACCTCCTTTATTACTGCAGACAGTGGCTTCTTCTACAAGGTAACATAAGAAAAAAGAAAGCATTTGGTTAGACAAAGTCATGCCATCATTTTGAATGCAGAACTTAGGAAAGCTAATAAAATGCTATCCAATTAAACAAATAAGGTTTTTTATTTTTATTAGCTCTTATTTAACAATGGTTCCATTTCCCAAGTTCACAAGCGGCGCCCCTTCCCCTTCCCAGATGGCACCAGCCCAATAAATCCAATGTCCGCCATTTGCGGCCCTTTGTCACAAAGGCTCATCATCCGTGGCTGGTGGCATAGACTGAGTCAGGAGAACCTGAGTGTGAATCCTGTCTCGGGCACTTCTAGCTGTGTGAGCTTGAGCAAGGCACCTAGCCTCTCTCAGCCTTGAGTTCCTCATCCATAAGATGGGGACAATGGTGCTACATCTCCCAGAGCTATTGCAAAGATTAATAATAACACATGGGAAGCGATTTGTGAAGCTTCAAGTACCACAGACACGGTAGCAATGACAATGGTGGTGGGAAGAAGGGCCGGCGACTATGGCATGATGGAAAGAATTCTGCATCTGGGCTCAGCGGACTTGGGCTGAAATCCCTGCCCTGCCATCTACCACCATCTGTGTGATCGGGGTAGGTCACCCATGCTCTCTGGGCCTGGAAGGGGTGGACTGGATGGTTCCGAGGTCCCTGCCTGCTCTAAGTCTAGGCTCTGGGGACAGTCCAGGCACATAAGCATTGTCCACGGCTGGCAGCATCAACATGGGACAGACATGTGGGTTTCCTGCACAGTCACGAAGGCGGAAAGAGCTCCTGGACTTCCCGAGCAGCCCGGCTGAGCCGCCCAGAACAAATGAGCCTTGGAGTAAACAGTTTGTTCTAGCTGAAGGCAAGCTCGACATCAAGCAGTTTTGAATTAGAATATGTGCTCAATCAAACGTGTCCTTCCATGAGCTCAGCTGGACAAAGTGGCTGGACCCTGTCCATGAGGCTCCCCAAATAAACACAGGCCATCCATTACCTCACCATAAATCTGGAGCTGGAAAGGACCTAAGAGGTCGCCAGCCTGATTCCTTCATTTTACAGGCGAAGACATTGAGATCCAGGGAAACTTCAATGGCTTTTCCAAAATCACCCAGTTAGCAAGCATCATAAGCAGGATCTGAACCCAGGCCCTCTCATCCAGAGCCAATGTATCCTTGAGTTCCAGCAGGCCTCTATGGTTCCCTTTCATGGAACAGTGCAGGACACACACATGGGGCCACCTGAGGGTAGGGGAGCTGTGCTGCCGGATATCAGATGTCAAGCTGTATCCCTCCATTCCCCTTCCCCAAAGGAAAGAATAACAGTAATCACTGCTCTCAGGCTTCCAAAGTGGAAAGGAACATGAATGCTATTACTCTCATCTTCCGGATGAGGAAACTGAGGGTCCGAGATGGCGCCTGACCAAGCCACACAGCTGAGTGTCAGCTGAGGCCAGGACTCGGGCCCAGGACGCCTCACACCCTGCCCTGGCTCTCCAATGGATGGCTCTCCTGCTTTCAGAGCTCTCTCACGACTTACAAGCCTCCATCACCATCCCCAGAATAATGGGCCCCTTGACCTTGCTCCAAGGTTCAGACACACAGCCTTTGCCTTACCCGACAGGAGAGCTGGCCCGCTCCAGCAGCTCCCTCCAGGGACATTTTGTGTGGGTGGTAATCAACCTTGGGGGCTCCGCAGGCACTATCTCTAATGCTACCTTTTCAGAACAAACAAAAAGCTAATGAACAAACAGGACATTCTGGATAAAGCTTTCCCAAACAAATCCTTTGCAGATGTGCACAGCTGTAGGAAGCCGCCAGACGTCAGCCGGCAGGGCGCCATCGTTCCCTGCACAGAATCGCCAGCGCTCAGCATTCAGCCTAGGTTCCTGGACCTGTCTGGGCTCTCGGCCTTGAAAGCCCCTCTCCCTGCCCTTTGGAGGGGCTCACTCTTTCCCAGGTCCTTCCACGTAAGTGGGCGGGACTGAAGAAAAGATGGAGCTGGGTAAGGAACCCTTGCCTGGGCAAGAAGACAAAAACGCTCAACAGCTTCCCTGCCTGTCCACATTTCTTTTTAAAGCCTCGACTCTTAAGGGCTAATGGTGCTTATCGTGACTGCAACAGACAAGCTACCTTTTTATTGTTGACTTTGAGACAGGGAGTCAGGGGGAGAGATTGGTTTAAAGGTGCAAACATGGCAGACACATCCAGAAGGATTTCCTGACTCTCCTCAGGGATCCTGCACACAGATTCCCACAGATCATCATAGACATTAGAGGCCCTTCTGCTCCAACCTGTCAGCTTCCCTGATGTGTGGTCACACAGTCCCCACTCAGAGACTTAGAGCCATGGGGAGCTCCCCCCCCCCCAAGGCAGCCCTCTCCACCTTGCTACTGACTCCAGCACCTGAGACAGTTTTCCTTATCTAGGAAGCCAAAATCTGCTTTCCAGCATTGTTACTCATCGTTCACGGTTCTGCCCCCTGGGGAGAAGCAGAACAAGTCTGAGCCCTCTGTACTCCAAAACAATCACCACGTTTCTCTGGCTTCTCTTCTCCAGACCAAATATCCCTGGTTCTTCTAACCAATCCTCATGTGACACACTTGGTTGGTACCTAGGCTCCTTCTTCTGGCACGTTCCAGTGTGCTGATGCCTCTCCTAGAGTGTGATGCCCAGGAGGGAGCCCAGGGCTCTGGCTGGGCCCTGTCCCAGGGCCTTTGAGTTCATTACAGAATCAATCACAAATCCATGCTTCTAAGAGTCTTTCCAGAGAGGAGGACCCAACTATCCATCAGCTCCTGGTGGGGTGGAGGAGTAGGGAGTTGGGTTCTTAACCCTCCTTCTCTTTTCAAAACAAAATGCTGGCAGCCGCAGGTCAGTATATGAAGCCTGAGTGCTCCCGAAGTCAAGCACTTGCTGGAACCTCTAATCCACCATCCCCAGGAGGCTTTTTCAATTGCCCCAATGCCCTAAGAAGGCTCAGCTGAGAGCCAGGCCTTCTCTCCAAGCCTATGTCAGGAAGTTAACACATGGCCCCAGTAACCTCCAGGGAGCTGAGAAGCTGTGGGCCTGGAGACCCTCCAGAAGAGGAATGTGTCCTAAAGTCAGGGAGACAGACTCGGGGGAGTCCTCATCACTAACGCATTAAGAAGCATTTGGTAAACGCCTACCGTGTGCTGGGCATGGGAATTCACAAACCAACGAAAGGGTTCCTGCCCTCAAGGACCTGCAGAGGAGACAGCACCCACATATTAGGGCGAGTACAAAAGACACACACGGTGAATTTAGAAATCAAGGGCACAGGAGGGGCATCGAAGGTAGCGCCCAAGTGAATTTGTTCCAAACATACTTTTTAACTAGAAACAAAGACCCTGAGAAAGAAAAGGAATGTCTTTCGGTTTTCTTTCAAGTCCCTTTTGATGGTAGGTTTTTTCTTTTAAAAATGGCTTATGAAGTGTTTTTCAAGGATGAGCAGCATTGATCATAGAATGCAAGGAATTGAAAGGACTTTAGAAATCATTGAGGACCTTGGCCCCCCAATTTTATACATAAAGTGAGGCCCAGAGAGGGAAGGGATGAGCCTAAAGTCACCCAAATGTCACTTCTTCCAAGAAGCCCTCCAGGCTAGAGATGATCTCTTCTGCCTCTCAGATCCTGGTGCTTCCAACTCCTCTAAGCTGCTTCTTGGATCCCAATTCTGATTCTGGTCATCCATGTGAATGCCTGGGTTCAGTCTGGCTTCCAGCACTTTCCAGCTGTGTGACCGTGGGCAGGAGACCTCTCTCTGGGTGATGCTCGTCTGCTGTTCACTGTAGGCTGTGGGGTCCACGCCTCGGTGCCACACGGTGGTGCTGGTAGATGTTTGTACTGAAGTCATGGGCCCTTGTTTCCTTGGACAACTTAAGGACAACAAAGGAGCTTTGGAATTTCCCCCAAATAAGCCGGTCTGTTCTCCTGCTGTCCAATTTGAGGCTCAGTCCATGGTCCCCAGTCCTGCTTTTCCTCCACACACATACTGTCGGACGAGTTCATTGAGATGCGTGTTGAAACCAGGGCAGTGAACATTTTTCACTCACTTGGTCTTTCCTGGGTAGAAGGACGGGCCAGCCTTGACCCCTCCAGGAGGCTCTGCAGGACCCTGGGGTTGGAAGCCATCCACTCAGTGTGGCCCTGGAGGGCCCCATCAACCCCAGAGAACCCCTCCTTGACCCTGACTCTGCCCTGGAGTTCCTCCATCACAGTGGTAAGCACCTTTGGCAGGGACACATCTCCCTGTGTTATCCCTTGCCAGGTATTTATCAACAGAGAATCAATAAGCAGGTTATTATTAATGTTAGACCTTCTAAGACTCATGAATGAATGTTTTTCATGTACAGATGGGAGGCATTTAAAAAAATTCTCTGTCTCTTGGTCTCTCTCCATCTGACTGTCTCTCTCTATCTCTGTCTCTTTCTCTCCCAATTAAGCATCTCTATAAACCTCAACACATCCAAAGCAGAGGCCACAGTCTTCTCCTTTAAGCCCACACTTCCACAAAACCTGCCCCAGTTCTGCTAAGGGCACCTCCATCCTCCCAGTAGCCCAGACTCAAACCACTGAATCATCCTGGGTTTTTCCCTCTCTCTCACATCCCATATCCAAAAAAAGGCTAACAGAATTTTAGGCTCAGAAGTGACCTGAGTATCCCGCTGGGCTAGCCCATACCAGAACAGGAATCCCTCCTACATATAACATGTGAAACTGTCATTCAGCCTCTTTTTGAAGACCTTCAAGAAGGGGGAGGAGGCCCCCACCTCCCAGGCAATCCACTCCATGCTGGGGCAGCTCTAATGTCAGAAAGTTTTGGTTTTTTCCCTGACATTGAGCCTAATTTTTTTCTCTTTGTAATATCCTCTCTCCCCACAGCTTCCAACTCTGCCTTCTGAGGCCAAACAGAACAATGAGAGCTTTTGAATCCTTGAGCACAGGCTTGCCCATCCCCTTCCATCCATCCCCCACCTTTTGT